CACCGTGGTCATTTGGGGCCAGATCGTTCTTTGTTGTTGGGGGCTGTCCTGTGCCTGGTGGGATGTTTAGCAACATCCCTGGCCTCTGCTCAGTAGCTGCCAGCAGCATTCCCTCCCCCCAATTACGCCAGCAAAACGTCTCCAGACTTTGCCAAATATCCCCTGGGGGACAAATGAGCTCCAGGGTGAGAGCCACTGCTCGAAAGGCTGACAGTTGAAAAAGAAATTTGCTCTCCGGAGGAGTGACTGACAAATACAGACAAAGGCATTCCTTGACTCTCCCCAACCTACACAGCTTGTTCTAGCGCCCCATTCACCAGCCCCCTCTCTCAGGAGGCACCTCTGCTCTCGCTCTCTGCCTCTGCTACAGTCAGTGTCACTTCCAGATTATAAACCATTCTTTTTCAATTAGGACTTATTTAATAGGTCTTCGTGCAGAAAGCAGGCATCCATTTGTGCCTAGGTAATTCTCTAAGGGTGGCTGGCGCTCAGCCCATCTCAGATGTAAAGAAAATGGTTCTCTCTAAATGCTTGGTGCCCACCGACCCTGATAAACCAGGAATAAAAGCACTAGGCAATTCGACTTAGCCAGCATTAACCAGCACCTTTAGGTTCCAGGAACTTTGGGGGACCTTGGCATTTTAACTTCAAGGCCGGAGCTATTATTTTAAAATTGGTTATTATTGGTTTTATTATTTTAAAAATGGTGACCAGCAATCTAGGCGCAGAGAAAAAGTAGGTGACCTGTGTCCAAGGTCACACCAGAGCAGAGCTGGGATTCGAGTCTCTCCAAGTTCTGTGCTCTTTCTTGACTTCCAAGTTAACAGTGTCCCCTACTCTGAGCTGCTGCGAGGACTCACCTGGGCCAGATGCCCTAGAGATGGCTCGAACATATTGGTCCGCTTTAAATCCTCCCTGTTATGCCATGATTGGGAGGGAGGGGTGGGTATTAGTCCTGTTTTACAGACAAGGAAATGGAGGCTGAGGTGAAGTCCTTGTCCAAGGTCACACAGCAGGACATCCTGAAATGTGGACTCAGCTTAGCCTGAGCCCTGAAGCACATGAGCTCAGTTACTACACCTCCGGCCTCCCTCACACATACATGACCTATTTCTTTCGAAGAGATCAGTCTGAGGTTTTAAGTAAGTGGGATGAATTACGCTTTAATTCAAGGAGCTGTAGATTTGGACTACTCATTTACTTTGGGATTTTTTAATAATATTAAAAACCCAGTCACATAGCTGCCTATGAAGTACCTAAAAAGGCCCCATGTGAAAAACCCCCTCTATCCAAGCGTCAAGAAGTGATCAGGCTAAAATTTCAGTACTGCTATTCTAACAATTATTTTCTCTTCTGTAGCTTATTCATTCAATCAATAACCATTTCACTTATATCTATTCAGAGGAACAAGTACCTACTAAATAATCACACAATTGGGCCTCCCTGGTGGCGCAGCGGGTTGAGGGCAGCGCTGTGAAGCTGTCCGCAGCCTCTGCAGTGCAGGCTCGATCTCTGGCCAGCCAGGGAGAATCCCACATGGTGAGGCAGACCTCTCCTGGAGCGCCCGCTGCTCCCCTCAGCAGTGCTTTTTGGTCTGTCCACCTGTTCTGCTCCCCGCTCTGTCTCTGGTGAATCCTCTCACCCTCCCAGACCTCTGGCCTGTACCTCAGCTCTTGTATAAATAAAAAATAAATCTTTAAAAATAATCGCACAATTAAAAATCATGATAAAAGAACCACAAAAAGAAGAGAGTCCAATAACTTATTTATATTGGAAAGACTGGAAAAGCAAGGCAAGGAAAGGCAAGGAATTTCAAATGTACAGGAAAAGTTGGGAGTTAATTTGAAAGAAAAGAAAAAAGAGCTTCTGTTTCCAGGGGACAGTATGTGCAAAGGCCCTGGGATGGAACAAAAGTAAGGCTCCAGATCAGGCAGGGCCTTGCAGGCCCTGGTAAAGGGAAATCAAGAGTTCCTAGGTGGGGGCACAGCATGGTCAGATCCACATGTTTTATAATTACTCGAGCTGTGTCACACACCAGCAAAGGAACTCTCTGGAGCAACCTTTGCCAGAGTACAGTTCAAAGAACACCACTCTGGATCCTGCAAAACAAGTTTGTTTGTTTCTCTCTCTCTCTCTTTTTTTTTCCCTTCTCTCGGGTGTGGCGCAGCACCTTGACTGTGAGCTAGCTCTAAACTTTTTTTGTTTGTTTCATTTATGAAGTTTAAAAGACAACTCTTCTGTCAGGTCCAGGACTTGTTTTTCTTTCAGTAGCCCCCAGTAAAGTACCTCAGCTCCTTCAGATCCCTATTCATTCCCTAACCTCTCGCCAACTGGCCCAGGGGTCTGTCAGTGGCAAAAGACAGAACCATCTGTCCTTTGGCGCTTTTTTAAATGAAGGGAGGGGTAGAGACAAGCTGAGCAAGAACCACTGAATCAGCTCCCTTATACGTCTTCACACCCAATCAGAAACCATTTTTTTTTAAAAAAAAAAAAAAAAAGCAAATCAGAGAATGTCCCTCCCCAGGTTAAGATTCCTGGATTCCACAGTGTCCTCTTGACCACACCCCTCGCCAACCTGGAGGTTCTAGCCAATGAAGCTCAGGCTGCCCCTGGCCTAGCTCCAAGCTTTCATAACTGCTTTCGATTTCTCCACTTCAAGAAGCTTCACCTCGCCCCACCCTGTGCTGCCAAGAGTCCTTGGCACCCACTGACACTTCCTCCAGGAAGCCATTGGTAGCCTCATCGACCTGGGCTCCCCACCCGCCCATGAACTGCCCTGCTCTGAATCCCAACACGACTCCAAGAAAGCAGTTTCTTGAACTTCATGGCAACAGATTCACTGCCCACCTTCCAAGACCCCCAACATGTGCATGTACCAGGCGTGCACACAAACCTGCATGTCAGTAGCTCCAGCACAGAGTCCAGGTGTCACAGATCCCAATGCCATGCCGGTTCAACCCCCTGTAAACATTTACTGGATGAATAGGCAAATAAAAATCACCACTTTCAGAGTCTCCCAGGAGCAGGACTAGCACAGGAATTAATAATAAAAGAGATTGGTCCTGAATGGGAACTTCGCTCACTGAAATTGGAAAAGATCAAAACTATCAACACCAGGCGCATCTGCTCATAGTTTTCGATAGGCCCTAAACTTCAGGAACATCTCTTCAGGTAGTAAGCAGTAACAGGCAGCAGGGAGACAGGGTATTTGTTATGGGCACCCAAAAAAAAGCCAGGACAGAAACACTGAGCTGACACAGTTCCTCCATGAGCTCAGTCTGGCTGCACAAGGCCACGGAGACTGAGTAACTGACCTTGTTTTTGATCTGCGCAGGTTCTCCCTTCCGCCTACTACACTCAAGCTCTTGTTCTGATTAGTCTAATGGCCCTCATTACCAACTCCTGGCCCTTCACCTTCCTTAGAAGCGCATTCCCCTCCTCTTGTTTGCATTTCTTTTCCAGAAATACCACCCATGTGCCATTATTGTTTCACGATTTCGAATTCAAAGGGGACTAACTCTATTATTCAGGGCAGCACTAGGGACTTGCTATTCGGACTTGCAATTTGATGGATTCGCATCCCATCATCTGAGAGCTCTAAACGTACAATCTCAGCCCACCCCAGACCTCTCCAGACTCAGAATCAGCACTGGAACTAGTTCGCACGTCATTCCGATGCACGATGCACGTTAAAGTTTAAGCAGCCCTGGGCTAGACCCTACATAATTCATTCTCCAAACACTGGTGGAAGAAGGGTGAGCTTCACAGCAGGCGGCGACAATATACATCAGCATGTGAATGTTGTGGGAAAAGGCCAAGCACAGACATTCCACTGCGGTTGAGAAACTCCTGCAAATTCTAAAAACTGCATACCAGGAAGAAAGGGTCTAGCTGCATGGATCATCTTTTCACCAAAATTCACAAGTGGTCCCTGCAGCTTGGTTGTGGGATTCTGGAATCTGGCAACTTGACCCTGTTTGCAGCAGGCAGGAGGAACACACGGGAGGTGTGAGTGTGCCTGTGAGTGTGTGTGTGTGTGTGTGTGTGTGTGTGTGTCTTACCCGCCTTAGCCACAGGCCGCAGGAGCTGACAAGGCCAAGTCCCCGCCCCCCTCAGCTGTCACCCTGTCAAAACAAAGCCGCTGCTGACAGCGCAGGGCCAGCCTGCCCCGCGGCCTCGGGCAATTCTCCCACCCCGCGAGCAGGGCGCCCACATCTGGATCTGCAGGGAGGGGGGCCCCGAGGTGCCAAGAGCTGGGACGCAGAGGGGACAGCAAGAAGCGTGTGCCCTCAAACTGAGCAGCAGCGCCCGCTGCGCCGGGCTGTCACCTTGCCAAAGGCTGTTTACACCCCGAGCAGCTGGGACAGCATTTTAACTAAACAAGTCATAATACAATAATGACCGGGCCGTGCACCGCGCGCAGCGCTCCGCCCCCAGGGGCAGGCGCGGGCAGCTCCGGGACCCTCGCCTCCGGCTGCGCCCACTTTCCGAGCCCGCTCGCTCCTCCTTCCCCCTCCCAGAGCTCCAGGCGCGCGAGTCCCTGTGCCACCCTCACTCTGCCACCCAGCTGCTCGCTGCCCGCGGGCTCCCGGGGAGACAGAGCCGGCAAAGAGGGGGCGCTCAGATTCCCAAGCGCGGTTTCCCTGCCTCTGGGCGCTCGCCGCACCTCGAGCACCGCTCCGCTCCCAGGAAGCAACTCCGGCGGGCTCCTACACAGCCGCAAAGCCCCAGGGCACCCTGGGGCGTCGAGGCCGCGCGGCAGCGCCCCCGGGGGTGGCGGGGGGGGCATGGGCGCCCCGCTCCTGAGGACGCCCCTTCCCCGAGCCCGCAGGACGCCGGCCCCGGAGGGCGCCGAGCGGGCGCGGGCGGCAGCGGCACTTCCGCGGGGCGCGCCCGGCGGGGGCGCAGGGGGCGGGGACGGGGCGCGCGGGGGCGCGCGGGCGCAGGGGCGCGGGGGGCGCGGGGTCCCGCGGGCCGGGCCGCGGGCGGCGCGCGCGTACCTTGCAGGCGGAGTACACGCCGAGTTTCTCCAGTTTCTTGGCCCGCGGCGCGGAGCGCAGTTGCGCCTTCTTCACCGCGATCCGGGCCGAGCCGCCGCCGCCCGGCCCCTCGGCCGTGCCCGCCGCCGCCACGGCCGTCGCCGGTCCGCAGGCGCCCGAGCCCCCGGCCGCCACGGCGCCCGGCGAGCCCTGGGGGGCGCGGGCGGGGGCGCGGGGGGCGGCGGGGGCAGCGCCCCCAGCCCGGCCCCGGCCCCGGCCCCGCCGCCGCCGCCCGGCGCGGCCCCGCCAGCCTCGGACATGCCGCGCGGAGCACCGCAGGAGGCGCCGAGTGCCAGGCGCCGCGGCCGCCGCCAGGGTCTCCCTCCCGGGCTCTGGCCGCCGGCGGCGCGAGACCCTCCCCCGCGCCCTCCCGCCCCGGCGCCCACCCCCCTCCCCGCCCCCGCCTCCCCGCGCGCCGCCCGCCCGGCTCGCTCCGGCCGCGGCCCGCGCGCTCAGGGTGGCGGCGGCAGCTGCGCCCCCAGGAGGGAGGGGACTAGCGGCTCCGCGGCCGCCGCGCCGCGGCACACGCCCTCCCCCGGGGCTCCCCCCGGGGCCGCGGACGTGCTCCGCGGCGCCCAGCCCTGGGGGCGGCCCGGCCGCGGCGTCCCCGGGGTGCCCCGGGCGTGCGCCCCCCGCCCCCGCGCCCGGCACCCCGCGCCCGCCCGCCCGCCAGGGGGCGAGGCCGCTCCAGGTGGGGGTGCGGGCGGCGAGGGTGGGGGGCTGCAGCCCAGGCACCTGCTGGCCGCCCGCATCTCCGCACCCCCACATCGCGGCGCCCCGCGCGCCCGGGCCCGGGGAGGGGGGGCGCCGCGCGCGGGGGGCCGGGGGCGGGGGGCGGGGGATTCCCAGTCGTTTGTTCTTCCAGCCGCGCTCGGAGCGGAGGCAACTTCCTCCACCCTAGCGGGAGCCGGAGGAAAAAGAATATTTTTGAAAAGTACCCGTCCACGCGAATCCTTTTCTTTGTTGCTAAATCACCCAAATAAAGACGCGATGTTTCCTCTTTCTCTTTTTAGGGACTTTTCTTTCCAACTTTTTTTTCTTTTTTTTTTTTTTTTTTCCTCTCCAATGAGCACTTGCTTCCCAGAGCAATGTCTGCAGCCGGCCCGCCAGCAGGAAAAGACAATTATTTTCTGTATTTTCTGTTTCGCAGGGCCGGGCGCTAGCAGAAGGGCGTCTGAAAACGACGTTCGGAATCAGAACTGTGCGCAGTGGCCAAGTTTGGCTGCAGAAGGGGTGTGAATAGGGCCCTGCACGGTGGGATTATAATTTTGCGGGCTTTTTTTTTTTTTTTTCCCTGTAGTGTCTCATGGCTTTTAAAATTGCTGCCACCAGTTTGCATATTAACCATTTAAAAAAAATTGTAAGAAGCACCATCCAAAAGAAGGAGTGTGGATTTGGGCCTCAAACTGAAAGGGAAAAAAGCCAGCTCAGCGTTTCCAACTACTGTTGAAACTTGGAAACTCATTTTCTTTGTTGATGGCAGTGCGGGTGGTGTTGGAGCTTTTCATTGGGAAGTTGGGGATCCTCTCCTTGAGTCTTGCTAAAGCAGGTCTTGGAGCCCAGCACTGTTTCTCAGGACCCTTCACCAGCGTCCTACCTTTGTCATATGAGCCACGATTTCTGTGAAATACGGGTCCTAACGTGCATGTTATTAAATGCTTTGCACACCGTTTAGTTCTCATGCAACTCCAACCAAAGCCACCCTAAAGAATGTGTTTTTCCCTGGTAACCTTCCTCTTTTCCATCCCGTTGGTTTTTTTTTTGTTTTTCATTTTCTCTATCCTTTTTCTACTTTCTTTGTGATCTTTTCATTTTTTAATGCAAAGTAAAAATGGTGGGTTTTTTTTTTTTTGCAACTTTGCAGATCTAAATAGTAAAATTAGGACAAAAGGAAATATCCTTTCCCGATTTAAATCCAGTCTGAGAGGCCTCCCCGGTGGTGCAGCAGGTTGAGCACAGCGCTGTGAAGCTGTCCACAGTCTCTGCCATGGGTTCGATTCCTGGCTGGCCAGGGAGCTACCCACATGGCTTGGCAGACCTCTCCTGTCTCGCCCGCTGCTCCCCTCTGCAGTGTATTTCAGTCAGTCTGCCTGTTCTGTTCCCCGCTCTGTCTCTGGTGAGTCCTCTCACCACCACCCCCACGCCTCTGGCCTGTACCCCCCGCTCTTATATGCATAAATAAATCTTTTTTAAAAATAAAATAATATGGTAGCTCTCATCGCATCCCTTTCGGAGAGATTTTTGGCTGCTTCCTTTCTTAGGTTGGTATGCTTGCTTTTTAACTGTTAACTCTCCTTGCCTGCTGAGGTGTCTTGCAGATTTTTAACCATTCTCAACCAAGCTGCATGGGAATCTTAAGTTGTGACCCCCCTGGTCAAAGTTTAACATCAGAACATTAGCAGATTATTAGGAGGGGGTTAGGTTCTGTAACAGGGTGGTCCCCAGGAAAGGGGGAGGTTCCCTGCCCCACCCAAGGGAGGGTGGAGCTGAGCAGGAAGAGGAGAAGCTACAGAAGAGACTGAGGAAGGAAGCAGGATGGAGCCAGGAGACCTGGAGGAGGCGCATGGAGCCTAGAGACACGTGAAGAAACTGCGCTTGTCTTTTGGTCGTGGACTGGGTGACACAGATGTGGGTGAGACCCGTGGGGAGGTGACAATGGCAGCTTTTATCTTGATGTTGATTTTGCTCTTTTCCTTCCGGGCTTGTCTGGTTGTTTCTGGCCCTTTTCTGTGGGTCCCCACTGGAAGATGTTTTAGACTTGGGGCAGGCTTTGGGGCCTTGCTCTGGGCCGATCCCATATGGATGGACTTTTACCCACGAGGGGACGGGTAACTTTGGGTGCTTCATTTAGAAACTAGAGTCTTTCCCTTACCTGTATTGTTTCCTAGTTTTATTAAAGTTCCTTCCCATTAAAGTCTCCTATGTTTTGTGTTGATGCGGCGGATGGCAGAACCCATTTAGAATAGGCAGGTTTGCGGGGTTTGGGCTGCCCCTCTCCCTGTCCTATAACAGTTCCAGTGCAGGCATTTATCAAACTAATGAAACGATCCGCTTGAGATGTGTGCATTTCCCTGTATATAAATTTCCCTCAAATCTTAAAAAAAGAATAAAAAAATTGAACTCCAATTAATGATGCTCATGCTAAAAATTCAGAGGTGCAGTGCTTGATATCTGTGGTGTCCTTTGATGTGCATGAAAAATATGATGGACTGATGCATCCGTGAATAAGCAAATTGGGTGGGAAATCAGTTACATGATGAAGCAAGCAGAGCTAAAAGCTGGACTTTAGGAGTGGGTACAGGGATGTTCATTATGCAGTCCCTTCAACTTCTCTGTTTGAAATTTTCCACAATTAAATGTTGGGGGGGACCTCTCAGCTTAATTCACCCATGACCTCCCCCTCCCAAACCATCCCCAGGATTCGGAAGGCAGGTTATTTCCAGAATGTTTTGAAGCAGAAGAAAACAACCTCATTTCAGTGCACCCCGAGAGCCATCACTGTCTGAACGGTGAATAACTTGTGACATCAACTGAACATTATTTTTCATTATCTCCCTGCTCAGAGCCCAAAGCTGACATACTGCCTCAGGCAGAAGGCCCACCCTTTCTAAGCACTATTCAAAGTGGTGATGAGCTGCAGGCAGGGAAATTTCAAGGGCAAAGGATTTAGAATTCTTCTTGCCTCTTCCTAATCAGCCTGTTGTGAGCATTTAGTAAGCTCCTAAATGCAGAAATCTTTTGTGAAGTAGATACCAAGAAAATGAAAGATGTTTAGGTTACAAAGTGTTTGCTACTTACTTTAAAGAAGCCACAATAGAAAATAATAAGAGTTTGTGGAACAGGGATTGTAGAGGGAAGGTTTGTTACAGGGCAGGGAGAGGGGCAGCCCAAACCCCCAAACCTGCCTATGCTAAATGGGTTCTGCCATCCGCGCATCAACACAAAACATAGGAGACTTTAATGGGAAGGAGCTTTAATACAACTAGGAAACAATACAGGAAAGGCAAAGAATTTTAGTTTCTAAATCAAGCACCCAAAGTTACCTGTCCCCTCCTGGGTAAAAGTCCACCCAAATGGGATTGGCCCAGAGCAAGGCCCCAAAGCCTGTCACAAGTCTAAAGCGTCTTCCAGTGGGGACCCACAGAAAAGGGTCAGAAACAACCAGACAAGCCCAGAAGGAAAAGAGCAAAATCAAAATCAAGATAAAAGCTGCCATGGTCACCTCCCCACAGATTTCACCCACATCCGTGTCACCCAGTCCACGACCGACCAAAAGGCAAGCACAATTTCTTCACTTGTCTCTCAGCTCCACCCTCCTTTTAGGTGGGGCAGGAAACCTGGAACCTCCCCCTTTCCTGGGGACCACCCTGTTACAGGTTGACCACCAAAGATACTTGTGTTATATTAATATTCCAGAATATTATAAATATTATCTTTATAAAAATACAGTAGCATAGCTGGAGCTCCAAGAAGCATTGTTGAATAAGTCCTGTATGCTGTAACACCATTTATGATCAAGACAAACTCACATTGGCTATTAAGCACGATTCTGTGTATGTTCAGTAAATGTACATAAAAATGCCAAGCAAGGTAAAGATTCAGACAGGTACACAGCAAACTCTTTAAAGCAGTTGCCTTTCTCTGGGAACGCTTGAGAGTAAAACTCATTTTCTCATTGTGTTCCTAGTTCCTCACACGTTGGAAATTCTCAGTAAATACTTATGGTCATGTGTACCTGTAAACTCTGTGATCTGTACATGTCTGTCTCCATGCCCATCACCTCTCCCCAGATTAGTAACAGCTTCCTAGCTGGGTTCTGCTTTTATGCTGTCACCACCCCTCTTCACAGTACAGAACTCTTTTTCTTTAAAATTATAAATGCAGAGCCCCTCTGGTGGTGATGGGGCTAAAGTCACAGTTCTATCAAGCTATGAAGCTGTCACCAGCCACTGAGGCATAAGTTTGATCCCAGGCCAGGGAGCTACCCACATGGCACAGCAGACCTCTCCTGACTCACCTTCTGCTCCCCTCAGCAGTGTATTTCAGTCAATCTGCCTGTTCTGCTCCCCACTCTGTCTCTGGTGAATCTTCTCATCCCCTGTACCTCTGGCCTGTACCCCAGTTCTTGTATGAATAAATAAAATAAATCTTAAAAAATATAAAACTATAAATGTAAACTTGATCCCCAAACCCCACTTTGAATCCCTCCTGTGGCTTTTAATGGCATTTAAAACACAATCTCAATGCCTAACCTGATTTG